AAGAAAACAAAAAATGATATGCAAACAAAATGAACGTCGTCTATGCAAATATGAGTATCAATTAGGAACGAAACCATTTAAATCCGATTCAAATAACTCAACTTTTATTTGTTCAGCTGGTAAATTTTGGAATGAAAAACACCTTTTTTTTTAAAAAAAAAAAAAAAAAAAAAAAAAAAAAAGAATCTGTAAATTGAACTACTGAAGTTCGGAAGACTTGCTTAAAATGAAGTACAAGAATGAGGATTAACAAAGAATCCCAGCAAACAAAATAACAAAATAAGTTTAAAAAATGAAGGAAATCAAACTGTTTAGAGAAAAAAGGGTGTTACCAATGTCAAATCTCGAATGCTACAGCCACCAAAACAACACAAATCCCCCCAGACAGATCAACAAAGTATAGATGAAACTCAGAGAATAAGAAAGCTAGAACTTTCAACAAAAACCCATCAACCCAGAAAAATTTTACACCCAGTTGATAGAATAAACCAGCCAAAAATCTCCAATCAATTAATCAACCTTGAATTCCCAAAAAAGAAACAACTCCAAATTCTTTCTAACAGCAACAACAAAGAATTTCCCATCTCTACTTTTCCCATTTAGATTAACAAAGTAAAGAATTACTAAACATTACTTACAGTCAGAGCAATCCAAAGAACAAAGATTTGGATATGGCTTCAAAACCAATCCAGAGCATTATGTGAACTTGATGTGGGTTTTTCCTTTTTTTATCTCACTAGAAAGCAAGATTTGTCTCTCTCAAGAAAGGAAAGAATTCAATAATAGAAAACAAAAAAAAATGACTAATGAGTCCACAAAGTAGAGACACAGAAAAAGAGAGGGAAGAATGGAATGAAAAATGAAGATGAAAGAAAGAAAACAAGCCAAGAAAATAGAACGGAAACGGAAAGTATTTTTACCGTTGGGTCCACATTCCCTGTACATTTTCACTATAATGTACTACGTAAGAGACAAGAAATGCATTTTTCTTCCAGTACTCATGTAAATGTTTAAAAAATATATATATATTTTTTGATATTTAAATATTTATTTATGTTCATGTACAAAGTAAATACACTTTTATATTAAATTAATTATGAGTACGTTTGCTTTGTAGTATTTAAATTATAAAATATTCTTTAATTGTTTATTTATATACAAAAGTGTGATGTATAATGTAGTATTATAACTGAATACTTCTTTTTAGCAACTTTTGGGTTCTAAAAACAAATTTGAGTTGTAAAGAAGATGGTGCATCCCTAAAAGGGGGAAATGGAAGAAAAAAGGATGCATGTATATGGGTTTCTTTTTAAAATTTAAAAAATGAAAACAGTACATGGCTGTTAGTGTAATCTAAGCCAAACTTAAGAGTTGGGAATGTGTTGGTGTGTCAAAACTTGTCTATATTAAATAATTACTAACAATGATATGTTAATTTGAATAAAAAAAATTAAGTTTTTTTTTTAATTGAGATTACAAATTTGAGTTTTATAAATGAAGAAATAATCGTTAAATAATTTCTTTTCTATAAGATCTGATACAATTGGATTTTGGATTAATCAGTATTTAATATAGTTTTCAAATAAGCTAGTAAAAAAAATTAAGTGATTACTAGTACAGTATATTAGAGGTTTAAAATGTGTAAAAATTGATTTAAAACATTTTAATTGTAAATGTTAACTGTAAATAGTAAAAGAAAAAAGGTAATTACTTGGACAATATATGTATACACACCATTCATGTTTCTTAGTCATAATTTTAGGACAAAAAGGGGAACTGATAATAATATCATAAAATCTGCTCGCAAAAGACACCATCCTAGGTATCAATGATGTCAAACATGGATTTCCGGTGTGATGACAACTAGATATGAATCACATGGAGAACCGTCAGTTTTTTCAGCATCTAATGAGTTAAATAGTGTATATTTTGAGATTAATCTCATTAAATGTAATTTAAAATTTTATTCTCACATTATTATAAAGTGTATTTAAAGAAATTAAATATTTTTTATTTAAGATCCTCTATAGTAAATCACAAAATTTCATTAAAATAAAAAATGAGATTTCATTAAAATTAACAATATGGTTTTCTCACTTGCTATGCTAATTATGGGGATTATAAGATATTTGATAAAAAGAATTATTTGGTATAGTAGTTTGAAATTAATAGTAATAATTTTATTTAATTTAAAAAATAAAATTATTTAAAATTATTATTTTTATTATTATCAATAAGAACTTTTCTAGTTTATAAGAAGAAAATACCCAAAAATACATCAACATTATCAGCATACACCTATAGACTATAATTACAAATATATAAACCCAATAATTTTAAAAAAAGTTATCATCTTCCACATAACTTAATAAACGTATAAGAAAACCCAAGAAAAGATTCTATTACTCTTAAGTATATTAGAAGAAAAGATTAAAAAAAAGGGTGAGAGAGGGACGGCAGGCGAAGAAAAGTAAAAATATGGGAATCTATTTACAATTGGTGGGTGAAATGCAAATAAAAAAAATTACAAGTACATTTTGATTACATATGCATTTTGAAAATTATCTGATGTGATAGCCCGGGCGGCGTTTGTCCTCAAATGGAATAGATGGACAATTGAACATTGCGGCGTTCAAATCTCCGAAGGCTTTATGGCAAAAATTCTATTTGACTACCATTTTCCCTCCTCTGATTTAAAATTATCTCAAACCAACAAAATGCCTTTAATTTTATTTAGTACATTATCCGTTTATTTTTAGTAATTTTAATTTAATTTTTTAAATTTTAAATAAAATTTAATAATTTATATAAATAATAAAAAATTTTATATAAA